AACTGTAATTTAATTACACATTTTTTCTTATTAACTGTAACTGATTACAGTTACATTTATTTTGTAATTAAATTACGTAACGCCGTTACATGTAACTAGTTACTCCCCAACGCTGTACAAAGGAAGCTCCCGTACCACCTCCTCCGCACCACCAGAGGGAACCATCTCCTGAATATTTAACCATCTTTTATTCGGACTCCATTTCCCATCATCCCTCATACCTGGGACTGATCACACACACACCTGCACCTCATTACCCACGCACACATTTAAGCCGCTCACACACACTGACTCTCTGCGAAGTCTTGATTTGCCCTGGCTGTCATTACTGAGCGTTCTACCCGTGTTTACTTTCATTGTGTTTGACCTCGACCTGTTTCCTGATCTACTGTCTGTTCTCTGCCTGCCCTTATTCAGATTGTTCTCCTGGACTGTTTGCTAGCCGCCTGTCCTGATCTCTCACCTGTTTCACGACTCCGTCCCTTGCCTAGCCTCTGCTGTATTGCCTTGCTATTTGACCCCTGACTATCCCTAATAAAGCTGCTAATGGATCTAAACCCTTCTGACGTGTCGCAAAATCTGTAACATTATTTTTAAAAGAATGGATTGAATACAGTTGTTTCCTGTTTAAATATTTTCAGTATTTACCTGACATTTTAATTATTGATTTTTACTATTTAAATAACATCTGTAATGTGAGTTTTTTTTGTTTTTATTTATTTTATAACAATGTTCATTGAACAGTATCACTTACTGTTTGAATATATTTTCTGTATTACATGTCACTGAAATAACATGTGGGACCACCCTCAAAATTTTCTCAAAAGTACAGTAACTTTTGTTAAAAAGAAGCTAGAATGATACTCTGCCTCTTTTAAGAGTGCAAGACTGTACATTTTAGGTGGTGGTGGTAATGCATATTTGGGATGGAATTAGTAATTTCATTAAAATCAGCTTAATAAACCATTTAATTAGCTATTTAGTTTCAATTGCATGTGTTCTCTTATAATTCTGTGAAAATATTATTCTAAAAACCAGTATCAAGACACAGCCTTTGAAGTTGTGATGGAAAACTGCATGCATTTAAATGAATTTATTAACTGATTTGAATTTAGTTCAATAGCATGTGTCCTGAATTACATACGAAAGTAAAATCTGAATTGAAATGTTAATTTAGGAATCAAAAACAAGAAACACCTTTTGAAGTTGAAATAGAAGACTGTATTGATTTTAAATTAATTTATTAAAGGTTTGAATGTAAAACTCAGTCAAAACAACTGCAGTATCTTCCTCTAGGAGGCAGTAATACTGGAGACTCTTTGGAAGGCTTCACAAGCGATTCTTGAATTTCAATAGTGTGACTTCTGCATCTCTTTTGACAATGAAAACAACTGGAAAATTTTCTTTAAGAAATCTGTAACAAGACACAGCCTTTGAAGCTGAGATAGAAGATTGTATTCATTTTAAACTAAATTATATATTGGTTTCATTTTCAATAGTATGTGTTCTATTATAGTTCTGTGACTAAAACCACCATCAAAATGTTCTTCTAGGAACCAGTAACAAGACACAGCCTTTGAAGGTGAGATAAAATGCTATATGTTTACAAAAAGTATGTGTTAATAGGTTTGAATTTGATTCAATAGCGTGTATCCTAATTTTCTTATGAAAATAAAAGATACATAGAAATGTGATTTTATGAACCAGCAACAAGACACACCCTTTGAGGTTGAAATGTCAGACTCTGTGTATTTTCAATTAATTTATTCACATTTCTGAATTTTAAACTGTCAAAACAACTGCAATGTGTTCTTCCAGGGGGCAGTGTACTGCATATCTTAATACGTTTTTTCTCAATTTTTACATTTCAATACTTTTTTTTTAATTTTTGTCTTTGTTATGTGAATAATATCAACATTGAATTGTTCTTTTAGGAAGAAGTATCAAGACACACCCTTAGAAAGTTTTTACATTATTTGTCCAAAATACTAGTATGCATATAAGCATTAATGTGTCCCAGTGGTGCTTAGATCGCACACTTTTTACAGTGGGTCTGTGCATGCTTTTTTTTTTTTTTTTGCTAAGCTAATGTTACGCAATATAAGCATTAATGTGTCCCAGTGGTGCTTAGATCGCCCCCTTTTTACAGTGGGTCTGTGCATGCTTTTTTTTTTTTTTTTTTGCTAAGCTAATGTTACGCACAACTTCTTGTGCTACGAATGACACACAGTTTGTATTGGTTCTTTACTTACATTTTTAGTTAAAGTGCTAAGGATTGCAAGGCTGAAGATGACACAGCTGGTTTTAAATGAATGATCCTAAAGTGAAGTAATAATGAATTTAAAGGTACTGAATTTAGCCAGATGCTAACACTAATGCAAACATTACATTATAAAGGGGTTTATGGTATGTCCCTACTGTAATTCTCAAAAGCATGTTTTTTCATATTGCAGTTCTATTTGGTGCCATATACTGAAATGACTGACATGTGTGGAAAAACTACACACGTCACGTTTAATGCCCTTGTAGGATATCCAAAAATGTTAAATGTTTCATAATTCATATTTAAAAAAGATATCCAGCACTAACAGTCTGAATAACATAAAAACTAAAATGCTGATAAACAGATTTTATTCAGAAACACAAGATGAATCAAATAAGCAATAATTCCTCAACACAATACGTCAATGAGATAAAAACATATTTCATCAGAACATATATTGTACTCTATATTTCTAGCATACATTAATGTAAAAATGATCAAGCTTTGAAACAAAAAGGCAATATATAGATATTAACCATGAATATTATTGCAATTCACAATGGATATGTAAATATAAACACTCCACAATAATGATGAATATATCTTTGATAACACTTTACATGAAGTCTGTATATATAATGCTTAATATTATTTTTAACACACGTAATTGTATATCTTTACGTAACCAATAAATACATTTTATAACATGACTCTATGGAATACTTCATTCTGGAGTAGTCAAATATTTTTAGATAATGATTACTAAACTATATTTCACCACTGTCCATAACAACATACCAGTACAACTCAACCATCTTAAATAATTACTTTTTTCATTTAATTCTTAAATGTAACTAAATATAATATTAATCAATTAAACAGCTTTAGTTTTAATGCATTCGTATTTAAAGTCTAGTATTTATATATGTAAGGCATATTATAGGGCATAGTAATATTAATACTATTATATATGCAGACTTCAACTAAAGCTTCTTTTACATCTAAACCAAAGCTTACTTTTACAATATCAATCCCAGAGAAAGAAAAAAGAAGAAAAAAAAGCACACTTGTAAAATTCACAACAGTGGTCATAAAAAAACAAACCAACAACAACAACAATACAAAACAAAGAAACAAACAAAAAAAAACAATAATTGGTCCTTTCGCATTAAACACTCTCTATTTTTTTAGAGAGCAGAGGAAGTACTACGAAACGTCATGTTGAAAAGTGCATGCTCGTTTTAATCACACAAATGTCCGTATGAGCATTATGAGTCGGAGTTGCATTAATTGAGGAAAGCCGTCATGCCATGGGCTGCAGAGCCAGTCTCCACTGAGTCTAAGGCATCTGTCCTGCTGTGGTTCAGGCTATAGTTGAGGTCGGATCTTCTAGTAAGGGTATTGCTTTTGTTTCTTCCCTGCGAAACAGGCGAGCCAGGTGCACAGCAACATGGCTGAGGTGGCGCCGGCCCCAGTGCAGTAGTACGCCCAGCCGATCTGACAAGAGCCTGAAGACAAGTCAGAGAGAAAGAGCGCTGATTAATATTATACATTACTGTAAATTCCCATGTCAGTTGAGGTGTAACATAAAGCTTACATAATAAAATTTTGAGAATACATATGTAACTGTTCTCACATAATATTAATTTGCAAAACGACAATCATTTTCTGCAAATCTGTGCCACTTATGGAGGGGTTAGGGTGAGCGGCAGCTAATAGTTGCCTACACACTATTGTTATAAATCATCATTATTGTTTCACATTCTCATTGGTTTGTTGGCATGTGGGTGATTTCATGTGCAAGAAAAGCTGTCAGTGAATTGCTCACCCAAGCAGAAAAAATGTGCTTTTGCTGCCTGAAAATCACATTGTATTGCCAAACTAACTCAACTAAAAAAAAAAGTTGTAGGCTAATGTAACTGTATATTTTCATGTTTTCTCAAATGTTTTTTTGGCATAGACAAAGTAGGTATGCTGAGTGCTACGTGCTATGCATAATGTGTACCAAGTTCAAGAAGTCACCACTGATTCTTAATATTCCTAAAGTCTCCTAATATATTCCTAGGAATTAAAATTCCTAAAGTATAATACAAATTTTAACCAGTAGTCTAGACACAAAACTTTGATCCTGTTTCCTTGGCACGTGCTGTGTTAAGTGAATTAGTGTTATTTTCGTAGCATTGATATACTATTATAGTTTTTATTAACATTTTGAATTAGACTATATTTTTGTTTTCATTTTTTTAATAATTGGGTTTTGTTTTTGTAATTATTATTATTATTTTTAATATGGCTATATCATTTTTATATTAGGTTATTAGTTTTTTTATTTAGCTTATTTAGTTATTTTTGTACTTGAATTTAATCTGAATGTTTTTGTTTTTTGAACATTAAGTTTTTAAAATATTTCACTTCAGTTAATGTTTATTTTATTTCAAGTAATGATTTTTTTTTTAAATGGTCCTATTATGCTTTTTCACTTTTAGAATTTTAGTCAGGGTGTAGTGTGTATGTTTGGGCATAAAAAAGATCTTCAAACTTACAAATCTCAAAGTCCACTGCAAAGGGAGTTCCCTGTCAGTCGGTCACTCCGAGTCACGTCGGTGACTGACGAATTGGGATCTCGCTTAGAGAGACCAATCCACTTCGAGTGTAAACTAAACGAGCCAATGCACATTGGCATGCGATTATTGCATCCAGCTGCCGTTGATCAAAGCGTGAGCATAATAAGGCAGCCGGTGCAACGCATACCAGCGCTGAGTAGAGTTTGGGGTTAGGCCCCTGCCCAGCTATGTGCCCAAGGTTCCTACTACTCCCTTCAGGGATCAGGTGGTGAGCCTGCAAGCGCTGCCCCCGGAGGAGGCTGATCCAACCTTAGCTTTGCTCTGTCCTGTCCGAGCCTTGAGATGCTATGTAAACCGGACACAAAGCTTTAGGACCTCAGACCAGCTCTTTGTCTGTTACGGAGGCCGGCAGAGGGGGAATGCCATCTCTAAGCAGAGGATGGCCCACTGTATAGTGGATGCCATTACCCTGGTTTATCAGGCACAGGGTGTGCCCTGCCCGCTCAGGTTGCGAGCTCACTCTACTAGGAGCGTTGCATCCTCTTGGGCGCTGGCTCGGGGTGCCTCGCTGACAGATATTTGTAGAGCTGCGGGCTGGGCGACCCCCAACACGTTCGCTAGATTCTATAGCCTTCGTGTGGAGCCTGTATCCACCTGTGTTCTCACCTCAAACGTAGCGTCGGCTTGCTAAAACTGCTCCAGAGTGTCCGTACTGTAGGCCCTGTCGAGCTCCTCCGTCCCCTCGGCACCCAGACGTGGCGGAACGTCCGGCGCCAGTCCCTCTCTCGCTAAATCCTTCAAAACCGGTAGAGGGCTGGGTTCCATATGTAGAGGCCTAAGTGGTTCCCATATGTGTAAAGTCCACGGTATAGCCTCAGAGCCCGTGTTTCCCCGGCAGACTTCTGCCATATCTATGAGTGTTACAATCACCTCTAATCTTCCATATGTACCTAAACGGATGTCATATGTGTAAGTGCTTCCGAAACCTCCTACTGGAAGGATTGGGCTTCTGCAACGTTCCTGTTCCAATCTCACTAGAGTGGGTAGTGCTATGACAACAGTGACTGGTCTTCTTGTCGCGAGCCCCGGCCTACACCACAATGGGGCGCAGACGGCTCGCACAGGACACTGGAAGGGGCTGGAATTATTGGCGCTTTGGTAGGGATCCCAATTCGTTGGTCACCGACGTGACTGACTGAAAGGGAACGTAAATTCGAATGGTTGGGGGTTGGGGAGGGGCGAGGTCGTGGTTAGAACGCTTGGTTGAGTGCATCAGACAAGACAATGACGAAGAAGAAGTGCTGCTGTAGCCTCAAGTTTTCGCAAGATATTACACATGCACCTGAATTATTATGTATGTAAATATGTATGTTACAATTATGAAAACGTTTTTATAATAAATTGCTGACAGTACAATACTGGACGTGCCAGACTGGGGAGAAACGTATTGTAATAATGTAAATTATGTAAAAAATAATGCGTTTTTCGAACCACCAAGCATGAGAGCATGTTCTAGTACACCCCCAAAACAAATTCAAGACATTTTAAAAGAGCATAATAGGACCCCTTTAAATGGTTTTAGTTAACAATATTAACCCTGCCGTGCACCCTGTAGTTTCGATTTCCACCTCACGAGGAAACAGCGTTAACCCTTGTGCGGTCTTTGGTCACTTCTGACCGGATAATTTTAAATTTTGAATTTTTAAAAATCATAGCTTCACCAGAATGATACAAAACTTGGTGACTTTTATGGCACTTGGTATGTGAACACAAAAAAAATTGAGGGCATGATTCGAAAAATCTAAGTGGTCGTAAAAAAAAATAGTCACACTCATGGTCTTCGGTCAAAAATGACCGACCATAGGAAATGAATGGGAAATGGGGAAAAAAATCGAAAATACAGAAAATTGTTGTGTGTACAATCTACAAATTCCCCACAATGAAGAAAAAAATTGCACAGCAATGAAGGGGTGAAAATCAACACACCAACTCACGCACAGACACACACTTGTACACACACACACCTATGAACTGGTGTGACTGTGGGGTGTGGGACTATGTAAAATAAAATCAATAATTCAATTACAATGCAGTAAAAAAGTGGACAGCAAGGAAGGGTTTACACTCTAAAACATCAAGAGTGTAAAACAGATACATCCACTCACACACACTTACTTACACACACTCACAGACACACATACATAATTATACATACTCAAATGAATTGGTATGGCTATAACCATATAGCCAACATGAGTCAGGAGACTGAAATAAGAGGTTAAAATCAGATCAGACCCAAAAGGATTAAGTTCTGATAAAGCATTCCTGTTAAAAATATTGTTACATTTTTATATAATTTTAATGTTTTGTGTAACAAAATGCTTTCTGTGTTCAGGTTTGAATGTAGTAGTAATAATGCAAAAACCTACGCTTCAAATCAACAATTAAAACAAAAAATATAAACCTTGACAAAAAGTAGTCTTTGGGAATGCCTTAATATACATTTAAATCCACAACCTAATAAAAGTAAACAATTATGTATAAAAACAACTAGGGAATTCACAAGCCTCTCT